CGATTTTCATCCGTCCTCATCTGGTGAGATCGACAAACGAATCTCTTATTCATGTACTTTCATTCGAAATAAAGGTCCCTCTAACACTTTAAACTAACTAGAATGAACACGAATCATAAAACTGATATACTGGTAGTCTCGAGAACCTAATTATTTACGAAAAAATATTTATTTATTTATGGATACCATACATAAAAGAATTTGTTTGAAGCTCAAAAACCTCATCACTCGTAATACAATTAATTTATTTCCTTAATTACATAGATTATAGAAAAAAGTTGATTTTAGTGGAATTAATCGCGTAGAATAATCAAACCGGCAGGTCATGGGCGTATACATTTTGATGGAAGTGAAATGAACTCATAAACTTCTTAAAGTTTCTCTCGCTAAAAGACAGGCCAGTTTGCCTAAAATAAATGACTCAATATATTTTTATTATTATTTATATTCATTATTACTCAACGATTTGGTTTTATTCCATATGATACGTCTCCAATCAGCCAATGGCTAATTGATGGGAATCCAATGCATATATGCATAAATATGTGTGGGATAGCGCCTTATATGTGGTTTTTGTCTTTTTCTGGCCCCCATCCATGGCAGCGCATTGCCCTGTTGCAGTCGGAAGGCGAAGACTTGGTTAGCCAAATCAGTCTGCTCGAGAAACGTACAGAAACGCAGACAAAAGTGATCCACGAGTTGAAGGCAGAGCTGAATAGAAGCACTGAGAAGCTGGGCCAGTCGGATCGAGACAAAGCCCGGCTACAATATGAGCTGACTTCTGCCGCCACACAGAATAGAGCATTTTTGTAAGCTTTCCCTTTTTCCAGCTTGTTGCCGTCAACATGTGCCAGTTTTGCCCTGTTTGTTCAACTTGTTGTCATCCGACCCTACCACTTTTGACCGGAGATGGAGGCCGCATTTTTAAATGTCAAACAAATCACAATTTCCCATCAACTATTCATCTGCAAACTTGACACACATTCTAGTTGCTTTTAGTTCGGTCATGCACATTAACCTTCCGCTAAATGTAGCCACAGCTTTAACGATGGATTCTCCCTCTGAGGTGTCAATACTAAACAGTTACGCAAAAGTTTAATTCAATTATAAACAGAACACATTCAACTGGCAAGTTGTGCAAGCAAACATGAGGTATGGCTATGCAATTGTGTTTTTCTCCAACTTTAGCCAATAATTACATTGCCCAATTGGAGGTTCGTTTATTTCAGACGCAGTATTATATAGACATGTGGTCAACAAAGATTGTGATTAGATTTATTTGAATTAATTTATTTTATTTTTTATTGGACTTTCGAGACTACCAGTAAATCAGTAATATGAGATGTATTCACCCAATTTCGTTTAAGATAATGAATTTTCCCACAATACTATTTCCATTGAATTTCACATAACCTTGCTTTGCCAAAAGTTGTTCTCATCCATGCACCAGTGGACTCCAGTCTCGAACCATGACGGTGTAGCATGTGAGCTTGACAGATTAGCCACTTAACCACATTGCTACGAAGGCCTTTGGGTCACAGGGCCGATGTGCATTTTGAGGAAGCTCAGGCATTTTTGTTGGTATTGTCGATGAAGCAAAGTTATATTTGCTATAGCAATCGATTACATTAGTGTTTTTACTTAACAAATTGAGCCTCAAGACTACTAATAAATCAATTGACGTGTCGAGATTAATCGCTACATTGTCATGGTTCGACCGCCGCTGGGAGTGCTGAAAAGACCTGGGCAAAGTCATCAGCTTTACTCATATGCTTGCATGAGAATTCAACTACCATTCCTTCATCACCTTGAAGGAAATAGGATGAATACATCTCATTTAAATAGTTACATATTGGGTCGTGAAAAATTTGGTGATACTTGCCGCCAGCTTTGACTCAACTGCCTCGTTCTGGACAGCTCCGGGACAGATTCAAATCCAAAACTTTTGAGATAATTGTACTCGAGTCATATAAGGACCGACGTATGTATGAAATGAGAACATTGCTTGATTCGACTTGCATTATCTTGCCTTAGGGTCTCTTCTGTGAATCCCACTGAAGACAATCTTTTAGCTCCGTTTGGAACAGCGGGAAACCCATACTGGCTGTCTGGCCTAGTCGTAAACTTTGTCCTTATTTATCTCATCACCTCAAATGGGCCCTCTTCTTTTGTCTTCTGGTATGATCCGGTCTCTTCCAGCTCTCGACGAAACATCAGCATCACTATTCATTTGTAGATATTAATAACAAAATGATAGGGTCTTTTGTTTGATCACAGTCTTTTTTTGCTGTATACAGTTGCTTTCACCTCGTCTTCGCAACTTGGTCCGACTGGCCGAGAGATCTTGTGGAACGTACCTAGTCCTACGTCCCCTGACACAATTTTCATGATGATTTCCAACATAGGGCCGTTAAACTGGTACACTTGCAAGATGTTCCCAAATGGGAATGTATCAAGTCAATGGTGCAAAGCTGGAAATCGTCATGACTGCTCTAAGGCAGAGGGCGCAGGACTGGGTATGCCTCACAAGGTTTCCGTTTCATTCCGACAAAGTTGCGAGAACGAGATTAAACCATCACAATTCCACGTCTTGTTTACTGATAACATTGTACAATCGTGGAACAGTGTTTCGAAACATTGCCTTTGATGATAATGCCACTTTCAGCATTCGCATGCGTTCGCAATACCTCATTCGACTGCAACAAATTCGACGATACAGAAATCAAGCACCCCACTTGCAAGTCTGAGGAATAGGCGGAGAATTGTTGAGAACTTTCGAGTTTCTGCCGTCAAAACACACAACATCTGTCATCACTGTTCTGTGTGCAAGTGGAAGGAAAACTGTGATGTGGCAAAAATTGGGGCTAACTGAAAAACAACCCAATCATAGTCTGTTGGGCATGAGTGTTTC